ATAAGACTAATCCCGCGATGATTTGCACATGAAGTGCGAGCGCCTTTCTTGAAAATCGGGACAATAACTGATTCGCCCCAAGAGGAAGGCACTTTCTCTTCATGCCAAATTTTTGCGAACAGCGCGGTCAGCTGTTTAATGATCGCCACACCGCCATACTTGAATAGCTGCAGAGGAAGTCCGTCTAAGCCGGCAGGCTTGAAGCGCTTCAAGCGTCGAATCTCGAGGCAGACTTCTGCTTCGCTGGGTGGATTCGGAGGGACGAGCCAGGGTGGACAACAAGGTGTACTGCATGTACTGACGGATGGTGGAGGCCAGTTGAACTGCGAGTGAAAGTGCTCGTCTCAGCGGTCCATACGCCTCTGTTGGTTGGTGATCGGAGACTCATCCACCTCACAAATGATCTCACTGACACCAGGCTTCCTGAGGCCAGTGGACCGAATGAGTTGGAATAGCCTGCGAGTGTTGCCAGAGAGGGCAGCAGTCTCTATCTCTAAAGCACGCTCAAATCACCATGTCTCGCGATCCTTGCGTAGGCTTTGCTTGAGCATCCGGTTGGCAGAACGGCGCCGCTCATTGCAATCTGATTCCGCGGGGATATCTTTACGGCGTTCGAACAGCTCCAGAGAACGAGCAGAGATCCAAGCCTTCAACGGGCGTCGAGTTAGGCCGCAGCATGACTGTCCGGAATTGGTCATTGCCTTCCGTATACAAGTCCAGTGTTGTTCCACTTCTTGTGGTGGATTGCAACTGAGTGCATATGCCAGTGAAGACTGATAGCTCGCCTGGACAGAGGAATCAGTTAATCTGTTTACATTAATCTTGCGGTGCTTCGTGTTTCGGGATCCTCCAAAGCACATGTAGATTTTCGCGCAGACCAGAGCATGATCTGAGTGAACGAAGGTGGACCAAAGTGATCTGCAGTCCAGTACGCTGCTGCGCCATCTGAAGCCAATTGCAATGTGATCAATTTGAGACCACGGTTGTGTTGAAGAAGGGTGACGCCACGTTGCGGAACACTTCTTCGTACGCCTGAAGCTAGTGCTCGAAAGAAACAGACGGTTGTCCTCATACAATGTGAGAAGTCTCTCTCCATTATCAGAGCGGTTCTCATCGAGCGCGTGATGACCACCAAGGTGGTGTTCGTATGGTAACAGGCGGCCAACCCGTGCATTAAAATCCCCAGCAAGGATAACGACATCCTACTTTTTAGCATTAGTCAAGAGCTGATGTATATCTGGGTAGAATTCGTCCTTGACCGAGTCGCGACTGCAGTCATTTGGAGCGTATACGGAGATCACAAACAAGTTGTGTCTCTCTTCGCGGTGCCTGTTGATTTCACATGAACCCCGAAGCCGAACTGCACATAGTCGTTTGTTAATCGGGAACCAGTCCAGTAGTGCCGCCTCGGTCTTGCCACTTAGTGCTATAGCTACACCAGCCAAACCCGCTGAGGCTGCTTTTGGATCTCCAGAAAGACGCAGATGATATCAGGCTTCGTGGTCAGTGGGGGGTGTCAATGTAAACACAGTGCTGGGATCTTGCAATCGGGTTTCTGAAAGGCAGCAGATATCAATGTCTAGGGAATCTAGGGTGCGCGCTGGACCGGCTTGCTGTCCATTCTGCATGAGTTTCCGAACGTTGAAGCACGCCAGACGGAACGAGGATCAGGTCGAAGGAGAGCCGGAGCAACCGGGATCGCAGCCAGATTGTTGGACAGATGAATCGGGTAACCGAAAGTGAGGATTGTTAGCAAACAAACAATTGGTGTGTGTGATGAAGTCGCGTGAATTTGAGAAGCGGAAACAGTAGCTGATGAGCACGTTGTAGTACAGTCCATGGTTTTGCGAGAGGACGTGATACTACCCGGTTGCCCAAGCCGAAGTAGGGAGTTGACTTGGGGGAGTCCACCCCGAGCCTTTGGCTAACTAACCTACCCGCAAGGCAGCGGGGCGAATTTAGGGAATCGCGCCTATTGGGAGGCGTTGACTGAATGATCAGTTCATGGGTCTTTGTTTGGTAGATTACCAAACAGGGGCCCAATACTCCCCACGAAATCAGCACAATTGCTGGAATACAATGCCCCACCAAAGTGGAACGTTGTCGCCGAACACTTTCCTGGAACGGGGTACACCCGAACCACCCAGCTGGCACCACGAGGAGGTAGTTCGGCAAGCCAGCCAACATTTTGGCCTAGAGCTTCTACCGGATGAGTTCGCGACGGACTTAGATTATGCTGATGATATCGCCTTACTTGGTGACGATCCTCAGAGTATGCAACTCATTCTGGATCGTTTGGCGGTTGAAGCATCTAAGTATGGCATGACTTCCGCCCCATCGAAGTGTAAAGTACTGCTCAAGGATTGGCTTTCACCCGCTCCCGTGCTCACTCTCGAAGGTGCACAACTTGAACAGGTAGATAGTTTCGTCTACCTTGGGAGCTGTGTTTCTGCCGACGGCACTATCAACAAAGAAGTTTCGCTTCGTATCGCTAATGCTCGATCAGCATTTGTCAATCTGAAGTACTTGTAGCGTCGTCGCGACGTCTCATTCTCACTAAAGGGCCGCATTTACAGCGCATCAGTTCGCTCAGTATTGTTGTATGGGTGCGAGTCCTGGCCGATTCTCGGGGAAAACATGCGTCGTCTTTCTGCGTTTGATGCCGGTTGCTTAAGGAGGATCGCTCGTGTTTGCTGGCGACATCGAGTTAATAATAATGACGTTCGATGTCGCATCTTGGGGAATGCGAGTATTCCCTTCAACAAACTGATTTTGTTGCGCCAGTGGAAATGGCTCGGTCATGTCCTACGCATGGCACCTGAGCGTCTACCGCGTCGCGCTCTATTCGCTCGTCAAGGGCCTGGCTGGAAGCGACCACTTGGTGGTCTGCCTTCCACTTGGCGGCAGCACATGAAATCGCTGACGTCGTGTCTAGCCGCTGTTTGATCCGTACGTCTTCCAGGATGGGGACCCAAAGATGAGAAGTGCCAATGGCTTAGGACTCTTGAAGACATGACTCGCACCCGGAATCAGTGGAAGAATTGTGTACAGCATTGTATTGATTCACATGTTTAATAGTACCAACCGTGAAATTGACAAAAAAGAGAAAAATCGGCGTGTGACAAACTAAAAATGTTTTGTTCTATTTTTTGTCAAAATGTTCCGTTCTTCCTGCGGCATATTAGCTGAAGTGTGTTGCGCACCTTCAACCAGCATGCCACGATGATTATGACGCAATGACTGTCTCCTATCCACTGATCTTCATGGCTTTGTTGGCTCTATGTCTAGTTGCTAGACTGTTGAGATTACATACACACATACATACTTATACCAATGAGAACCTTAGTCGATGGCAGCCGATGCTCAAAGAAAGAGAGGTCTTGGTTTGAGACCTATAGGCCTTTGGAGCCTCAGAGACTGGATTGGTCCAAAAGGTTTAAGAATGAGAAACACAGTTGCAAAGAGAATCTAGCATGGTCATGGATGTTGCGCTGACGTTAGTGGTACCTATACCACCATTGAACAGTTGCGATATGTAACAAAAGAGATGCCAAACCAGAGCGGGAGACGTTAATGTGAGCTGAGAAGCATGATAGTGGAGCCGAGAAGCAAAACTCAATCAGCGACCGGAAATTTCAATTTCGGTAGGCGGGACCAAGCATACAGATAATGAATCAGACGGAGCCGAGTATCATGAGGCTGTTACTTATACCAATGCGAACCTTAGTCAATGGCAGCCGATGCTCAAAGGAAGAGAGGCGTTGGTTTGAGACCTATGGGTATTTGGAGCTTCAGAGATCGGACGGGTCCAAAAGGTTTAAGAATGAGAGGCACAGTAGGAAAGATTATCCAGCGAGGCCTGGGACGTTGCTCTGGCGCTATGGGTACCTAGGCCACTATTGAAGAGTTGCGATGTGGACCAAAGGTAAGGCCGAGTTAGAGAGGGAGGCGTTAATGTGAGTTAAAAACCTTACTAGTGGAGCCGAGAGGCAAAACTCCAACAGAGACCGGAAATATCAGTTTCGGTATTGAAGACTAAGCAAACAGACAATGAATCAGACGATATGACTTGCTGCTGGGTACATTGTTAATGCTGATGGTATGATGAAGTGGAAACTGAAAGGTAATGTTATATGGGTTTGCTTCTTGAAAACGGTTAGGATAAAATAAATGTGGACTACTGGTGTAGTTGAAGGCCACGGCCTATTCGAAGGCAGGAAAATGGTTACTACAGGCGTTGTATGGAAGCATCAGTTTTTGATCGAAGGTAACGTGTTTGCGATTTAACCATGTATGCAAAAGTTACGCTTGCATTAAGCGACCGCTTACTGGACTTTACATCATTTACAACGGAGACAAAGATCCCTCGTCTGATTTTTCTATATGTTGTATTTGTTTGAAATCATGTCAACTAGACGGCACTTGTTCTCCATAATTGGAGCAATTGTGATGCTGACATAGAGGAAGTATGAATGTGCATTGCAGGGGTAATTTATTGTTAGAAGGTATGATTTAAGTTAAATGTATTGTCCAATAAGGTGAGCATTTAAGTAACTATTTGAGGGTATCGGTGAATGTTAAGGAAGGATGGTCATATGAATGATTCATGAATGCTATACTTAATGTATGGACCAAATGTACTATGCTAATGGGCAATCCAGGTTGTTGTGAGGTGTTATTTCTAAGATGTATGTTTGTGACTTTAAGGACATGTAATAGAGTTTATACAAGCACACAAATTTAAAATAATGCAACTGAACGCGCATATTAGGTGCATCAAATATCACTGTTTTAGCCCTGATTACTCCCCGATTCTTGTATGATACCATCATATTGCTTACAAACTGGAGGCGCTCTGCCAACCAAGTTTCATTTTTAAAATCAGAATGTTAGCGCTTACTTCTTCAATTAACAACTTTGAGTTCATCAACTAACTGTGACTGAGGACCGACCATTTAGTGTGCTTGAATATTCCACTTCCTCTCGTTTATACGTTTCAGCATGTCTGAATCAGATTCCTCCGATTCGGAACTTCTTTTACAAGCTTTTCCGGTACCGCCGAGCGACACTACCGATCCTCCGAGCATCGAGAAAGCACTTACCTCGCCAGAAGAATACATAAAATTTGTTCGGTACTATCTTCCTTGTTGCTTCTATTAAACTAGATATGAAGCGTCATCTTATCCCAAAGTCCTCCACAGTGGCTTTGTCCCCTCAGAACCAGCTGAAGAGGCTGGACAAGAGAATAACAGTTTTTGCTCCTCTTCATCCGAAGCTTTACCACAGTCAAATGAATACCTTCTTTCGAACTTCGATTCAACGGTTGAGGTGGATTACTTAGCCGCTTTATGCAGTTCTTTGCTGTTTAGGAATTTCGGGCGGTCAAAATCCTTCTCTCTCGAATGGAGCTTGATGAGGTGAGCTAGGCATTTATTTACGGCTGACCTGTAGACCCATATTTTACCAATCGTTACACTACTGCATGGATCCAATCGCATATTTTTTCCAGCGACAATGTGTGTTGGTACTAAAATACCACCGGATAACTTCAGTGGGATCCGCCTATCTACTCTATGCTTTGACAAATACTATATGCTGTATTCTTGTACTGGGTCAATTCTGCTGTGTAAAAGTATTTTCTCTTAATATCGTAAGGCTGAGGATCGCTTACATTTGCTTAATGGTACAGTATTCCGACAGACACGTGTATTTCGTGACGATAACAATATTTTCGTTATTTGCACTGAGAAAATGATACGAAATGCATTCGTCTGCCGAAATTCACCTCCTCACTATACTTCCCATATTACTGAGAGGAACTAATTGTTTTGGACATGCAATTGTGTTTAATCGATTGTTGTTAAGGTGTTGTCCCCCAACCTTCTCACCACGTGTTGAGAAATTGTAAGCCTTAGTTCTGAACCCTAAGGCGTACATTTCTAACCTCTCCGCTTGCTGATCAGCGCACACGATTTCTGATCCTAATGTGACCGCCTGGCACTGTCTTTCAATTTGTCTCATTGAGCGTTATAACAAGCGTTCCCACTCCCGCGAGCAAGCTTTTGGTAAACATCTCAATACACTCCTGCGCACCCGTGTCCGGTGGCACGCACCGGATATCGTTTGGGAAGCATTAGTAAACACACTACAGACCGAGGCTTATTGTGGCGTGTGAGTTGCATGCTGTTTTCCAGTCCAGCCACTTTTTTGTCCATTGAGCACTATAGTTAGACTGCCTACTAATCCAGCTTCTTACGAATTAATACTTATTTCGTCATGGTACACTCACACAATGGACGTTGGCCTCCCTTTGTTTCCGACACAGAAAATAAAAACGGTAATAAGTGATGATTTGTTTGAGAATCCACCATCACTGCTCTGGATCGCTCAACGAAGCAGGGTAACTAAAGATCTCTTTCCAACTGGTTGCGTAGAGTGAACTCGGTGAATTAGCAGAGCTTGTATCATCCCACTGCACGAAGAAGCGTTGGAAACCCGATCTAGTGAGTTACCATTAAACCGGTGCTTTTTATTTCCACTACAATTATCTCACTGTCTTCTCCCTTCGGTTCACGTTTGTTACATTATCGCTGTGGCCGCAATCGACACCTTAAATTTTTTACCCTTCGACCGTTCGGTTTTTGTGATTTTTTCCAATAGTTATACCACATTTCTCTTTTTATATCTGTTTTAACCTAATTTAACACGACACGATGCTTAATCTTATCACGAGAACAGCCAATTACAAGCACGTTTTCGTCTTTCAAGGTTTTTAGTGCCGAGATGGTCGTTTACCATATCATAGTACGACACCATCCACTAGGAATCGGGTATAGCACTTTCCACTCGCTTGTTTTAGTATAAAGTTACCTATCACCAGTCGATTACTGGTCCGCCTGACATTTTGACTTTTGCTTCACCACCCACTTTTGTTCTTGAATCGCCTCTGAATTCATGGTTTAACAAATTTTACAGACTACTGAGCCCAACTCGGGTCGAATTATCACTAACTTCATGATGCTAACTCTAAACATTTAAACCTGACATCGCCTTGTACTTTTTAAGTTCCAACGAAAATCTCTTAACCTTCTATCCCTTGTTTCACTAAGCACAGGTGATGTAGGAAGATAGAGTTCGTCTATGCTGTAACCTTATATGACCGGAATTTTAGAATTATCTTGGATTAAAGTGTTACTGCCACCTTTTCTTTTGTTTATGCCCCAATTCTCTTTTCGGGCACTTTCAGGGCGTGTGGGTTTTTGCTCTACTGGTTGCCCTTGAACCGCCGTTTCATCCAGACGTTTGTTACTCTCTGAGAAGAATAGCAAAGCGATGTCGATCCCTGAAAAATGGTTTGTCTCTGTCTCACCAACTAACTTTTCTAGCACAACAGCGAGAGCCTTCAACGCTACAGGACCATTCGGTCGAATCGGAATTTTTTGATGTATGCCTTCATCTAGTAGCCAGACGATTCGGTCAGCTAGACCTTTTGATGCAATAAATTCATTTCTATAGAACATCAGTTCTGTCAGCTGTCTTTGAGAATGTCCCTTTCTTTCTTTATCCGGGACAGACTAGTTCGTCCTCATTGATGGATGATTTCCCCTGAAGTGCTTCTTTTTCAGGTCACCTAAAGACGGCCGCCTGAATCTCGTTGTTTCTGACTGCATTTGTGCACCTTTCGTTATTTTCATAGTACACTGCTTGTTTCTGTAAACCTTGCTACGTTCTAACATTTTATCTAGACTCGACCAATGTGTGAGGCATTCAGGAGGAGTGGGTTGCGACAACTTTGTGTTTTGCCAAAAATGTTGAGATAGAAATGTACGGAGTCCCTTTTGCAGCGTGGACCTGTGTATGTACGTGTCCCCATGTAACCGTCCGACAAGTATGAAAAGAGGTGTTGGAGTTTTCTGGTAGTTAATAAAAATTTCGTCGGATTTATACACCAAGTTTCTGATCGCTTCGGGATCTTCAGCACGTGTTTCGCATGCCGGCTCAGCGTCCACCTCGCCGCACCTTTTTGCAGCGCACTGGAAGCCGTAAGAATTTGACAACCGTATGGATTGGGCTGAAAAGGTGGAGACAAACTTATAATGTCACCTCATCTGGTGCATAGACGTTTGTAACCAGAGTACCAATCTTAGCGAGCACATGAACACCGGAACAGTCAACCTGAGCTACCAGTAGTGTTTCAAAGGCTTTCGAACTTGAGAAGTGAATCACCAGGTAGTAGTTGGCGGAGTAATGACATCCGGCTTCCACATACTGGGAATCGACTGTTCTTCTAGGCGCCTTGGAAAGAATCAGAACAACGGCTCGGCTAGCCGCATAGTTACCGCATGCAGTACTTTCGGGTGGGTGCGCAACGGTAGCAGTTTCTTCGAAACAGTCGCTGAAATATAAGTGACGTGGGTAAACCCCTGCGTCTGGAGGTCTGGGACAGATATGTGACATGCTGGAGGTATGTCGAAACACTGGATCATATTGTAACCTTAGACCGTTTGCTACATTCTCGGCGGTCTGAGCACATACACATCGCATTTCACTTTCCGAAGGTTGTTCGTATGTTTGTGCAGTAGCGTGGTATTAGTATAATACCTTCCCACTATGCACTGCTGGCGTACTAATTTGTTCTCACGGACTAATGTGGTACAGTAATAACGCTGCACTACATAGTTGCTCCAGTTATCTGGACAAAAGTTAACTCTGCACACACACCACGCTGCTTGGGGTTTTCGAGTTCCTGTCCGACTGAACGATGTTACTGTTGCAAAACAAAGGGGTATGATTGCCGGCGCGGATGAGACCAGAGCACTGAACTTATCAACAAACTTCACCCAAGTATTCTCAACGGTATTGTAATCTATAAACTCCTAGGTGGCATCTCTAACTATATCTGTTGGTATGTCGCAATGTGCGATTGCAAGTTCCTATACATACTCTACTTAACACACCTAGGCATAAAGAGACTGGACCTTAATGTGGTGCGACGGTTTGCGTACCTCATTGAGCTATACTGGGTGGTGCCTCCGGGCATCTTGAGAGCTACTCCTACCAGGTTGGTCAATGGTGAGAGGTCAGACAAACTCAGTCTCCTGGTCCTCCAGGTTGGGGGTTTGAAATGGGATGGCGTCCATTTCTGTAAAACTAAATCATTGCTACTTCCCCGCTGCCTTGCGGACAGGCTTTTGAGCCAAAGGCTTTGGATGAGGACCCTAATCGTCCTCCTGTCTAGGTCTGGGCGCCCTGGCAGTATCTCAGCCCACATACAACCATGACATTTTCTTCAAACATAAACTTCATCCTGCATCGGCCGTCGCGCAGATTATCAAGGGTTGCCTTATCTGGTGCATACAGCAGGGCGGATAAGCGAAAACATGCTACTGCTGGCGCCTCCCTTCTTTCTTTTCCACCTTTTTCTCTTACTCCCATCCCGGCCCCCATTACTAACCTTCCTTCTATAATTCCCAGCTCAATTGACAGCAATTGAAGTGCTACTGGAGTAGAACCCTCTGCAGCACCATCCCACAGCACCTATCGGACGCCTATCGGCAAAAGTCCCTTATAAGGCCACGCCGTCCCGTTTCCATGACGGCATTCAACGTCCGCACTCTAAGACAAACAGGTCAACAGACTGCACTCGCACGCACCTTGGACACACTGGGTGTTGATGTGTGTTGTGTGTCCGAACCTAGGATTAATGACCCTAACGGGGTTATTGAATTAACTGCACCCGGCGTATCCTCTCGTTATTGGTTACACATCCAGAGATGCCGATGCGGCACTCACGGTCAAGCTGGTGTAGGTATCATTCTCAGCTCTAAGGCTGAGTCATCGTTGGTTGATTGGATTCCGGTGAACAGCCGTTTATGTGCAGCCCGTTTGACGATATCAGCTAAGGTGAATTCACGAAGTAAAACAAAACGCTGTTTGTTTGTGATTTCCGCTTATGCTCCCACCGACTGCAGTTCTAATGCGGTCAAGAACACTTTATATCACGAACAGAACGCGCTACTAAGCAGTGCTACTAGTTCAGATATTATAGTACTTGCAGGAGATATGAACGCACAAGTAGGGCGTCTGAGCTCTTCAGAAGCTCAGCTGGGTGGTATTTATGGACTTAACTCCGAACGGACTGACAACGGTGAGCGTCTGCTGCAACTGTGTGCGGAGCACCAGTTGTTTCTTAGTAGCACTGCTTTTAGACACAGTGGGCGCCGAAGTGCCACTTGGCGTCCTCCTGTAGGTGGCCAGCGATGGACCCAAATTGACCACATAGCCATAAGTTACAGGTGGCGCGGTTCCATCCTGGATTGCCGCTCATAATGGAGTACCTGTGTCGACTCTGACCATGCCTTGGTACGCTGTCGTTTCTCCATGAACTTTACCGGAAGGTGCACAAAGCGTCCCCTCCGATTGGCAACGAAGAAACTGTCCCAGCCTTCGGTCAGGCAAGCCTATCAAGAAGCACTGCATACCGAACTCTCGATGTCTTATCCTAATGACACTGAACTTCAGTGGAATAGGATCTCGGCTGCCATGCACGACGCAGGAGCATCTACTTGTGACACTATCCATCCTCACCGCACTAGTCACTGGATATCCGAGAGGTCCGTGAACCTGTTGGAAGCTAGAAGACACCTCCAGGCTGGTTCTTATTACAATGTCACCAGAAGGGCTATTAGGCCTGAACTAAAGCGGAGCCTGCGTGCTGACAAGGAAGCCTGGTGGACCAGTCGGGCGCAAGAAATGGAGGAGGCAGGAGCAGTAGGCAATTACCGCAAGCTCTTCCAGCTAATCCGCACCACTGGTCCCAGAAAACCAGA